GGGACCTTTTTACTTGTTATGATAAAAAAAAAAAAAAAAAAAACTTTGGAACATTAAAATGGGTTAACTTTCTCTTCTAGTTCCTGTCTGATTTAGATAAAATAAGTTTTTTTTATTATATTTTGATAAAAATTAATTAAATATTTCGTTAAAAAATATGTGAATCCTATAAAAAAATATGATAAAAATTAATTGTTGATGTTGCATTAAATTTTAATCAACTTTTTAGTCGACACAAACAAGAGCCTAACAGTAAAAAAAGATAAATAATACTTTTTTTTCTTTCTATTTTCTAAAGGGGGTTAAAGGATTTCATCTTACCACCGGAAGGAGGCTTGAACTCGAGTCCTTTGCTTGGTAAAATTTCGATCTTTCTATTTGATCTATGTCGTGAATTAAAAGATGAATAATACTTGGTGAAAACGGAAACTTAATTTTTATATTTCCAAATTTCTTTGTTGGGAGGAGTTCAATCAGTTAGCTCATAAAAACAACAAAATAAATAAGTTCATCAACAGAAACCGAACTGAAAATAATATCTACAGAAACTGAAATCACAAGAACTATGAACTGTAAAGCTGAACACGAAAATGAACTATAAGAAAATGAACTTATCTTTTTATTATAACCCACAGGCCACAAGTTCGTTCAATAGATCGTTCAACCTTCAATAATAACCACTGTTATTACTCGAATCAGACCCCAAGGTAGATTACAAAGGAGACACTTAGACTAGACTTGTTATTACACAAAATAGAAACTCTCTCAACTGATAACACACGATTCACACAAGAATCAACTCTCAATCAATGTAATCACACAAGATCTACAAGCTATTGAAGGGAAACGGGAAATCAAATAAGCAGTTTTGATTTCTACAGAGAAGAGAAGAAAGACTCCCGAAGAACGGCGCATGGCACAAGAATGGAAGAGTCGAGAAGCCAAAAGTGTAGTCTCAAACCCTAGACAATCGTTTTTATATGAATCACCTAAAGGTCACCAATCCAACGGTGTTGGAGGTGACATTTGGTGACATCAAGAGCGTCCATCATCAGGGCAAGTGAAAACACGGTTTCAAGCAAATTCACAAAACACGTTTTCTGCCCAGAAACAAAACTAATGGACATTGGGCTAGATTCAATTCCAGCTGGGCCAACTCAATTTTGGCCCAATAGCCATTGCATCATTGTGCCACCAAATTCCTTTCATACTCCACCTTGGTACAATGATTCAAGCATCAGTGGTTACTAAAAAAATACAGATATCATCAGCACAGAATTGCAGTAAACACAGATCAGCAGCAAGGTGCAACATTCAGCAATGTCAAGTAGTCCAGAAATTTGTTTAATGGTAGAACTTTTGTACCTACATCAGTAGGGTTATAATTAGTATATACATTTTCAAGTTTCACAACACCTTGTGAAATAACATTTCTAATAAAATGAAATCTAACATCAACATGCTTAGATCTATTGTGCAAAACAGGGATTTCTATTTAAATGAATTACAAATTGACCATCAGAATAAAGAACAACTTTATTAACCAAATTCATTAAGAAATCTTTTTAACCAAATTCCTTCTTTGATGGCGTCGGTGGTTTCAATGTATTCAGCCTCAGTTGAAGACAAAGCCATAATCTTTTGAAACTGGGATTTCCAAATTATGCAAGAATTACACAAAGTATACATGTATGAAGAAGTAGATTTTCTGTTATCCATGTCACCTGCATAATCAGAATCAGTAAATCCTTTCAAAATAACACCTTTAGCTTGTTTTCTAAACTGAATCCCTAAGTTTCAGGTCCCCTTAATGTACCTAAGAAGCCACTCATAGCTTCCCAATGTGTTTCACCTGAGTTTGCCATATATCTACTCAAAACACTTATAGAATATGTCAAATCAGGTCTAGAGCACACCATGAGATACATAACAGACCCAACTGCATTAGGATAAGGCACTTGTGCCATTCTTTCAAACTCTTCTTTAGTTTTAGGACATAAATCATTTGATAGTTTAAAATG